CCCCCGCAGCCGCTCCTCCACATGCCTCGCCACGTCCATGGTGTCGTCCAGGTCGAAGTCACCCTCGGGGTCCAGCACGGTGTCGGGGCTGCGGGAAGCAGGGGGTGAGGGGGTGACCAGCCACAGTGCGATGGGGACGGGGGGGGGGCGATACCTACTTCTGGGTATACATGTTGTAATGAGGCTGGGAGCAGACGGCGGGCGAGGGAGCCTGGTCCATGTAGGTGGCCCCTCCAGGGCCAGAGTCGCCTGATGCACTGACAAACCTGCAGGGACAGGGGACTTGTGAGTGCTGGCACGGGATGGGATGGGATGGGCTCCCCCAGGGGGAAGTTGTGCTCCAGGAATTACCACTGCCTCCAAGCGGCATCTCCTGAGGCTGGCAAGCTGCTGTAGAGGACCCAAATCCCACCACCCACAAGCAGCGACAACCTGCAGGGTCCCCAGTCCCTTGGGTGGCAGCACGGCGAGGGGGACAGCATGGCAAGGCGGGGGCGCCCGTCTTCCCAGGGAATGCACAGCCCTGCCTCAGCCACGGGCCCGTGCTCCTCGGTCCCCAGCACCAGCTCAGCACCAACGTGGCCATTAGTGGTGCCAGAGCCCGAGAGCAGAGGTACCCTGCGCTGCTGGATGCCCTGGCCAGCCTGCTGGGGACGATCCCATGGGATTGCCCAGGGTCTGCGTTCAGGGTCAGACTTACTCTGGCACCACTTGCTTGATCTGTGGCTTCACGTATCCATCCACGGCTTTAGCTAGAGGGAAGAAGGCAGCGCTAAGGCCCCGAGCCGCTGGTGCATGCCACAAGCCCACAGTGGGGCTGGGGGCTCAGGTACTGCCAGCTGCGGAGCCCCCGCAGGGCTGGATGCGGCCCCGGGGCAGAGGGATGCTGTGAGCCCCGGCTCCACCCTGGTCAGATGCACGAAGGAGAGGGGCACGCGTGGGGTGAAGGGGCAGCGCTACCTGGCGTGGACTCACAGAGAACCGGCGTGTAGTACTTGGAGAAGACCTCGTCCTTGGGCCGATCCGGGAACACATAGATGAGGTAACTGAGGTCCCCGAGGCGGTCGGCCAGGGAGCGGATGGAGAAATCCCTGGTAGTGAAAGGCATCAGGTTCCAGAACATCCTCTCAGCTGGAAGACAAGAGCAAGGACTGCGGTGATGCTCAGAGCTGCTGGCAGCTCCCGGCCCCGCTCCGGCTGCGAGATCGAACATCAGATGGCATTTCCCACGCTGCATCCCCACACCCCCCCCCAGCAATATTTAAGGACAAAACGCAGGTCGCCAGAAAACAGGATCAGCCAGGAGGCACAGTGAACCGGAGGCAGGTCCGTCCTTGGCTGGGTATGCAGGGGGGCAGGTCCCCCCCAGCCACGGGGGACCCCGTGGGGCTCTGCAGGGCTCCTTGGCTGCACGAGCCTCCATCATGAAGAACAGCAATGAGCAGACTTGCTGCACGGGGTCAGGAAACCAGGTTTATACCAAGCACCCCGGAGTCGCTGCATTGATCCAGCCACGAGTAAGACCCTGTGGTTGGGTCAGACGGTTTAGCCCAGTCCCTCCTCCCTGCCAACACCAGCGCTCGGGCTGACAGCTCCGGGCAGCCAAGGCGTTCCCGCAGGCTCCCGCACTCGCCCCTTTCCCAAGGAAGGCTCCCACGTGCCCGGTCACGGTGGTGCCGGTGCCCAGCCGAGACAGGAGGTGCCAGAGGAGCAGCACCAGCCGCATGGGCACGAGACAGCCAAGACTCAGGCAGGGGCTAGGGACAGCGGGGCCAGGGGCTGCCAGCTCCCGGCACACACTCACAGGAGTCAAACTTCCACGCGATGGTGATGCCGCCGATCTCCGAGTCGCTGAAGCGCAGCAGGAAGGTCCCGTCGGGCTTGTTGATGAGCAGGTCGTGAGCCTGCTGCTTGTTGACGAAGCCCAGGATGGCCCTAGGCAGAGCAGGGGCGTCAGGGCCGGGCGGGCAGGGGGCCGGGCAGCACGGGGCTGGGGGGCTCTTACCCATCATTCCAGTGCGGCTTCAGATGCTTCTTCAGCACCTCCATGACCCCGTCAAACCACTGCCAGAAGGTGTAATTCCTCCCGGGCAGGTTTTCCTGTTAAAACCCCCTGAAAATGAGCACTCCAGACACCAGCCTCACAGCTGCTGTTAAACAGCACAAGCGCTTGGTGCAAGCAGCAGAGACTGGGGGACCCACACTCCAGGGCGGCCTCTGGCACTGCCAAACCAGGCACAGGTCAGCCTGGCCAGGTGGCACAGCCCCGGGGGGAGCGCCAGCAATGCCTCCCCAAGGACGCAGACCCCGCCTACAGCACCCCGTGTCCCTCCGATCGAGGAAGGCAACACCTCCTGCCCCACTGCAGCTGATGGCCACCTCGGTTTTGCACCACTCCAGCCAGAAACGGCTCCTTGGGAGGGACGTGCCCCATCCAGCCCCCCAGCACGAGCACTGGTACCACAGGCATAGCAAAGCCCCCGTCCCAGAGCACAGCGGGACCCCAGGGCTCTGCGGCTCTCCCAGCACAGAGCCCAGCCCACTCACCCGGTTGAACTGGGACCAGGACACCGTGGTGCTGCTGTAGTCCTCCAGGTGGGAGCTGGTGCTGTTGAAGAGCTTCTGCGCCAGGAACACCAAGTTCTCCTTGGTCAGCCCGCGGCTGCTCTGCACCTCTGCCTTGAACTTCATGTTGAGCGCCTCGCAGAGCTGCGGCCACTGCACCTTGTCGGGCACGGCAAAGGGCACGCGGCCCTGGGGGGGCACACAGCAGGGTCAGCACCGAGTTCTGCCTGCCACATCCCTGCTGGGAGTCTGAGCCCAACTCCTGCAGCCCCCCAGGGCGGACGGGGCCTGTCCTGCCCCGCCATGGTGCTGGCACTCACGGGCTCAGCAAAGGCGTTGTCCCAGAGAACAGTGGCCGTGGCGTTGTTGTCCTGGCTCCCATGCACGATCACCACCACGGGCAGGGACAGCGTCTGCCAGGAGGAAGGAGACCAGGATGGGATGTGGGGCACCAGGGGAGCATCACCCATGGGCACCCCAGCCTGCATGGGCACTCTGTGGCTCCAGCCCAGCCCGTGAGCATGGTGCCCATGGCTCACCCGGGCCCTGCAGAGGGAACACGGCTGATGGCTTTACCTTCACCTGGAAGACCAGCTCATTGCCACCAACACTGAACTGTGACTCGAAGAGGATGGTAAACTTCTCCTCCGTCACCGACTCTGCCCCACGGCGGTCTGAGCGCTTGATTCGCTTCAGGGACTGCAGTGACACGAGGGGTGAGCACGGGGGGGACCGATAGGGACACAGGGGGACATCGGGGTAAACACAGGGGGGATGCAACACAGATGGGGACATGAGGGGTGAACACAGGGGGACAGGAGGGTGGGGGGCAAGCATCGGGAGGGGGTAGCCATGGGTGCTCACCATGTTGCGGAAGTGGGCGCTGAGCGTCCCCGTGGCCTGGTGATACTCCATCACGCAGCAGTTGTTCAGGATCTCCCCGCTGCTCTCACTGCCATGGGAAGGCGCAGGGTCAGGGGGACGAGCAGGACTGGGAGCCCACGCAAGGTGCAGCCCCCCCGTACCCCAATCTCCAGGTCCTGCTCCCCGCTGCCTCAGCAGCCCCCGCCCCCCGTAGTGGCCCTGTTCCCCCTCGCAGCACACCCCCAGCCCCCTGGGCATTACTTGCGGGTGCTCTCGTTCTTCAGCAGGGCCTTGGCTTGCTGCTCGCTGATGATGGTGGCCTTCACCTGGGGGGGGTTCATGTGCACGTTCAGCTTCCCCCCCACCAGGAGCCGCACAGTGGCCGCGAACTTGGTCTGTGTCTTCAACACCTGGGGGGGCTGCTTCTCGATGATGAAAGTGCTGGGGGGGCACAAGGATCAGGGGCAGGCAGGCAGAGCAGCCCCAATCCAGCCCCCCAACCCTGCCGGGTGCCTCAGCCAAGCCAGGCCCCCACCTCTACCTGGTCACCAGGGCAGAGATGATGTCGGTGATGGTGCTGTTCAGCTCGGACAGCATCTCCTCCACCGGGCCCGGGATTGGCAGCTGCTGGCACAAGTGCTCAGCCCGGCGGATCTGCTGCCGGTTTTGCCAGATGATCTCCGCCAGCTTCTCACACCTGGGGGGAGTGGGGCTCAGCACCACACTGGGGCTCATCACCCCATCCCAACCCACCATGCACGGCCGGCGCTGGCACCCACCAGGTCTGCAGCACATCCAGGGTGCCCTCAGGGGGGCCCCCATTCCCTGCCAGCTGCTGCCGACGCTTCCACTGGATCAGCTCATCATCCAGGATGGTCGTTTGCTGCTTGCGCAGCAGCTGCAGCGTCTTCTGGTGCTTCTCAGCCAGGTCCTGCGAGGCAGGACGGTGTTATGGGGTGTGGGGACGGTGGCACAACTGGCACGGGGCCGAGGCGGTGGCACTCACCACGCGGTACTGCTGTAGTGTCTGGGCCTCCCGGTGCAGCCAGGCCTCCAGCGATGCCTTCTTCTGCTGCAGCGTTGTCTCCCGCGACAGGCGCTCCTGGGGGCCCAGCTGGGAGAGCTGGGAGAACTGGGCTGGGGGACGGGGCGCGGCGTTAGGGCTGGCACCGCCTGCACCCCAGCCCCGTCACCCTCCGGCCCCCCACCCACCTTGGAGGCGCATGTTCTCCTGGTACTGGATGATGAAGTACTCCTGCGTCTGCTGCAACTTCTTGAGCTCATTCTCAGAGTCCTGCGTGATGAGCCGCAGCTCCTCGAAGGTCTGGTTGATCTGCAGGTGCTTCTGGGACATGGCGTCCACCAGGGAGCCGGCTGGCGAGGGGCTCTGCACGGGGCACAAGGAGCACTCAGCATGGCAAGGGGGACCCTCCCCATCCCCCTGGGTGCTGGGGGCGGCAGGGACCCAGAGCACGCCCTGCCTCAGGGCTCCTCCCACGACCCCCGTGCTGGAGACCCCCTCATCCTGCAGGACCCATTCCCTCGCCCCCCGCGACCCA